CCCCCCCCCCCCCGCTTTTTACAACCTGTTTATCTCCCTTTCTTTTTTATTGTATTTTAATTTTAATTAACATTAATGTTATTCTCGCCCTTTTCTCCTTTATAATTGTTAATAACCCTTGCAATTAATAAATAACTTATTATTGTTAATTAACTTATCAAAATAACTGCAATTAATTTTATGGTATATTAAATATCCGAGATTAAGTTTTTATGTGTGTAAAAATTGTTCATGCAATATTTTTAATATTAATGAAATAATATTACTTAATAATTGATGACACAATTTAAATTAGTAATTTAGTATTATAAAATAGCATGAAAATAATAAATATGTAAAAATGTGTTTGCTGGATGAAAATTAAGTGTTTGAAACTAATTGAAGTGATTTTCGCCTCGTATCAAGTATTTTTTTTCCCTCCAACTTAATTTTATCTTGTATAAATGGATGCTAACCTAATAAACATGCTCAATTCATCAAGTATTCAGCTTATGTTTATAAATAAATAGATTGTATTTGTGTTTGCATGTGTTTTCATATTTTTTCTACGTTTTCATTGTGTTTCTGAAACGATTTTGTTTTCAAGCTTGCTAAAACGGTCTTCTGAAATGATATTTTGATTCTTGACGAATGGGATGAACAATCTTTTTTGGTTTGTGTAAAGGTTTCAAGTGTTGGATGTTGATTATTATGATGTTAAGTAGTTGAAGTTTGAATATTGGACGATGATTAAATGAGATTTTTTGTTATGCTTACTGTTGTCTAATAATGGATTTTCTATTTTATGATAATGTGGTTTGCTTGTTTTAGTATCTAATATGATCTAAAAACGTTGTTTTTATTATATAATCTTATAAAAAATATTTTTGAATATATTTATTCAACATGTATTCGATGTGTCTGTGTTCTACTTTTTTGAAAATATCGTATTTGTGTGTCTGTGTCGTGTTGTATCTGTGTTTGTGTTTCATAGCTAAACGCCATTGCATTGTCCGTTTATTATAATCTCAGCAATCCCTATCAGTGGTTCTTTCAAACTTTGTTAGAGCCGTATGATTTGAGATTTCATGGTAGTCGTCGTTTTCGTTCACCTTCACCCTGTACGTCGAAGACTGAAGCTAGGTTCGAAAGCTTTGAACAGGTTTAGGATTCAAAGAAGATTAACAAATGATCTACGGACTTCCTTGGCTTGGTCCCAGTTTGTAGTCATTAAGACAATCTATAACTAGTTGAAATGGGCACAAGAAAAGTAGGAAAAAATGCAGTCAAAAGGAGCCATCTTTAGTCTCAAATTGGGCTTAGCCTTCCTTAATGCCAGACAACTCTTATTAAACATGTTTTTTCGGCTTAATACCAATCACATGGCTAAAATACTACTGGTAACCATTTTTTTTAGGAAGAAATTTTCTGGTTATCGAAAGCAGAGTCAGTTGAAACTATTGTTAGGGAAGAAAGGTGCAGAGAAAGACGATGAAATAGAATCTTTTCGTTGGTAGCCCAAGGGATCGAGGAATTAACTAAAATTACATTTGATTGACTATACTCTCTTTGTCGCCCACGGGGTGAGCCTAATATGAATAACAACTCTAAAGGAAAAGATTATACACGTCTTGGAGTCAAGGACAGTGCACAAAAAGCCCTTTTTTTTTTGGAGATGGAGAAAAAGTAAGTGGGGTGATTTTTATCTGTTCCCTCATGGTGTCCCCATTAGTTGATATACGAAATTGGAAAGGAATTCTAGATCATTCAGATTTCAGGTTCGGATTTGGGATATGGATGGAATCAAGAGGGAAGAAAGAGTCTGGTTTCAGAGGCTTGATCAACTGCGTAATCATGGACAATCAACAAATCGCTAAATGCTTCTTTAGACTGTCGCTACAGAAAAGATTCAGGTGGGGAGAACTCTTATGTTATCAAGTTTTATAAAGCCGTCAGGAAAATCCATCTCCACCTATGTTGTGCCCTTCCTCCCAAAGCATTCCAGCATCTGTTATTCCTCATCTCACCCTATAAAGCAAAGTTGGACAAGGGGGAAAGACATGGAATTGACAGGGAACCATAGCCAAGTGTCTAAGGCATGAATCTGCAAAACTTCTATTCATAGGTTTGAATCCGAACAGTTCCTACAGTGCCATTCCATTTGTTTTCGCTGCTTTTGTGCATCATTATTATCGACAACCAGCCCTTTGTCATCAGCAACCATCGTCGTTGTATTCATCACAATTGTTATCGATCAACATCATGTTGATTTTGTTGCTGCTATCACAGTCAAATAGGCCTTCACGAAGAAGAGAAGCTGATTGTACCTTTTCCGTCTTCATTGTACATGCTGTTGATTAGATTGAGAGTTGCTGCAGCTGAACTTGGAGCTAGGGTTTGGAGCAGTCAGTTCACAGCATCTTGTGAAGAAGAGCAGCTCCAGGTTTGATTCTGCATTAAAAGCATAACCTGACCTGATCCTTTTACATTATAAACTGACCCAGGTGCAACCAAGTCCATAATCAGGAACCAAAACCCATATCAAGTCACAGTCCAGGCCCAATAACAGTACCCAAACCATAAGTTAATTCAACCAGCCCACTCCAACGTGTAAAAAAAATCCACCCCCTTTCCATAAAGCCCAGCAGAACCTGGCCCATCCCCACCCCCCAACTATTTCTTAGAGTACAGATACAACCCCAACTTGTTCAAATTTATGTTTTCATCCTATACAGTTTGGCCACCAAAGTTTCTAAAATTACAGTTTTGCCCCTAAAGTTCTGAAATTGTTGTTCTGACCACATAAAGTTTCTAAAATTGCATATTGACCCTAGAATTTTCCAAAAATTCTCAAAACTCTCTAGCAATCAAAATTATTACCAATGTCGAGTTAAGTGCTAGAGTTGAAACACATGGTTCACGACTTGGATTGCTCCAATCATCATGGCCTCAATGAAAGAAACCCTGGACATCTTACCCTTGCTAAAAGCGGCTGTGGATGCCTAGACCATCTTTTTTGGAATTTTAGTAGGAGATTAGTTTTTATTTTGGTAGGAGACTTGGCCTATAACTCTTTCTGTATTACAAATCGCTACCTCCATCTTTTGTAATATTAGCTAGTTGAGGAGTATGTGGCAGCTGAAGAGTTGATTTTCTAATCATATCCATGGTTTATTGTATAAGATTTTAATTTGCTCCCTACCCTCTGTATTAGAGCGTGGCTCAATATATTTACAATTTGTTTGATATGCACGCGCTTTTTGCCTTCTGCTTGGATAGTAATATCTTGTGCAATTTGGTTGTAATNAATTAATTTTATGGTATATTAAATATCCGAGATTAAGTTTTTATGTGTGTAAAAATTGTTCATGCAATATTTTTAATATTAATGAAATAATATTACTTAATAATTGATGACACAATTTAAATTAGTAATTTAGTATTATAAAATAGCATGAAAATAATAAATATGTAAAAATGTGTTTGCTGGATGAAAATTAAGTGTTTGAAACTAATTGAAGTGATTTTCGCCTCGTATCAAGTATTTTTTTTCGCTCCAACTTAATTTTATCTTGTATAAATGGATGCTAACCTAATAAACATGCTCAATTCATCAAGTATTCAGCTTATGTTTATAAATAAATAGATTGTATTTGTGTTTGCATGTGTTTTCATATTTTTTCTACGTTTTCATTGTGTTTCTGAAACGATTTTGTTTTCAAGCTTGCTAAAACGGTCTTCTGAAATGATATTTTGATTCTTGACGAATGGGATGAACAATCTTTTTTGGTTTGTGTAAAGGTTTCAAGTGTTGGATGTTGATTATTATGATGTTAAGTAGTTGAAGTTTGAATATTGGACGATGATTAAATGAGATTTTTTGTTATGCTTACTGTTGTCTAATAATGGATTTTCTATTTTATGATAATGTGGTTTGCTTGTTTTAGTATCTAATATGATCTAAAAACGTTGTTTTTATTATATAATCTTATAAAAAATATTTTTGAATATATTTATTCAACATGTATTCGATGTGTCTGTGTTCTACTTTTTTGAAAATATCGTATTTGTGTGTCTGTGTCGTGTTGTATCTGTGTTTGTGTTTCATAGCTAAACGCCATTGCATTGTCAATCTTAGCAATCCCTATCAGTGGTTCTTTCAAACTTTGTTAGAGCCGTATGATTTGAGATTTCATGGTAGTCNCTTCTATTCATAGGTTTGAATCCGAACAGTTCCTACAGTGCCATTCCATTTGTTGCCGCTGCTTTTGTGCATCATTATTATCGACAACCAGCCCTTTGTCATCAGCAACCATCGTCGTTGTATTCATCACAATTGTTATCGATCAACATCATGTTGATTTTGTTGCTGCTATCACAGTCAAATAGGCCTTCACGAAGAAGAGAAGCTGATTGTACCTTTTCCGTCTTCATTGTACATGCTGTTGATTAGATTGAGAGTTGCTGCAGCTGAACTTGGAGCTAGGGTTTGGAGCAGTCAGTTCACAGCATCTTGTGAAGAAGAGCAGCTCCAGGTTTGATTCTGCATTAAAAGCATAACCTGACCTGATCCTTTTACATTATAAACTGACCCAGGTGCAACCAAGTCCATAATCAGGAACCAAAACCCATATCAAGTCACAGTCCAGGCCCAATAACAGTACCCAAACCATAAGTTAATTCAACCAGCCCACTCCAACGTGTAAAAAAAATCCACCCCCTTTCCATAAAGCCCAGCAGAACCTGGCCCATCCCCACCCCCAACTATTTCTTAGAGTACAGATACAACCCCAACTTGTTCAAATTTATGTTTTCATCCTATACAGTTTGGCCACCAAAGTTTCTAAAATTACAGTTTTGCCCCTAAAGTTCTGAAATTGTTGTTCTGACCCCATAAAGTTTCTAAAATTGCATATTGACCCTAGAATTTTCCAAAAATTCTCAAAACTCTCTAGCAATCAAAATTATTACCAATGTCGAGTTAAGTGCTAGAGTTGAAACACATGGTTCACGACTAGATTTGCTCCAAGCATCAATGGCCTCAATGAAAGAAACCCTGGACATCTTACCCTTGCTAAAAGTNAAGTTTCTAAAATTGCATATTGACCCTAGAATTTTCCAAAAATTCTCAAAACTCTCTAGCAATCAAAATTATTACCAATGTCGAGTTAAGTGCTAGAGTTGAAACACATGGTTCACGACTTGGATTGCTCCAATCATCATGGCCTCAATGAAAGAAACCCTGGACATCTTACCCTTGCTAAAAGCGGCTGTGGATGCCTAGACCATCTTTTTTGGAATTTTAGTAGGAGATTAGTTTTTATTTTGGTAGGAGACTTGGCCTATAACTCTTTCTGTATTACAAATCGCTACCTCCATCTTTTGTAATATTAGCTAGTTGAGGAGTATGTGGCAGCTGAAGAGTTGATTTTCTAATCATATCCATGGTTTATTGTATAAGATTTTAATTTGCTCCCTACCCTCTGTATTAGAGCGTGGCTCAATATATTTACAATTTGTTTGATATGCACGCGCTTTTTGCCTTCTGCTTGGATAGTAATATCTTGTGCAATTTGGTTGTAATATCGTTCATTTATACACTAAAATAATGTAGGTTTAAATGGTTCTGTAGTCATGTTGGCTCCAGCATTATGTCAACTTGGTTGAGAAAAAGTCTAAATTGACTCTAGGCTAGTTTGAATTATGTACGATTGCCTGCACAATATTAAATTAGGTTTGGCCCACTCTGATGAAGCTCAGTTTCTAGCACGTTACATAGATAGGTCATATAAATCTATATGATACATATTGACACAATTATTTAATTTAAGCTATTTTACCATTATAGGGACGGGCCCAGGTTCATCACATTTTCCCACCCGAGTGACTGCTGTGGCAGCGGCAGTACTAGTCGTGGCAATACTGGTGATGGTGGTTAGGACAGGAGCAGCCTCAGTTGTGGCGGTAATGGCAACATTATTGGTGGTCATAGGGATGTGTTGGTTGGCTGGCTGCAGTGGTGTCTTTACCAAGAGTCAAAGACTGGACCTAGGTTAGAGCTTCTAAGAGTAAATGAAGTAATGGGAAAAATTGACAGTTATTTATAAGTCTCTAAAGTTATGAAATTTTAACTTTTGGAAGTTATTGGCATTTATTTTAAATTGAGGAATCATTCATCAAATCTGAAATTCANGACAGTTATTTATAAGTCTCTAAAGTTATGAAATTTTAACTTTTGGAAGTTATTGGCTTTTATTTTAAATTAAGGAATCATTCATCAAATCTGAAATTCGAACCAATCAAGCAAACTGAGTTTTTGTTAATCATGCAATTTTCAACAAATTCCATTTTACAAGATCACATAGCATGCGTTGAAAAAATATTGAGGGCATCTTTGTGAAGTTCTGAAAAAGACATCCTTTTGTGAGAACATGGTTCTTACTTAAGAAGTGGCTGACATGGTTGGTCTTTGCTTTTGTTGCTTATTTTGTTAAAAACTATTAGAATATGGCATATGGCATGGGATGCCAGGTGTTTAAAAAGGAGCTGTGGTTAAGAAGATTTTAATTTTTTTTAAAGTTGAATAAAGGAACTGTTTTTAAAATTATGGGAATTACAGTGTCTAATAAATAATGCCAGTTTTTTTAAATAATTGCTAAAGGATGTTGGAAAATGTTAAATGAGCGAGATGATTCTATGTAAACAATTGGAATGTCTAAGTTGATTTTATTAATCTTTGTTTAGCTGGGTTTCAGTTGAAAAGTAGCATATATAAAACTAATAGGAATTTGTTGCAATAAACATAGTAGAAATGTGGGTTAGCAAAATACATACAACGCCTCTATGAGGTACTATTCTTTTCGTTTGTCACTCATGATATATTTTTTTTTGGAGAACTTAGAATGAAGCATTGAACAAAAATTTGTCTGGCTAGTCAAACTGCCTCTCACATCATGGTTGAATATTGGATGGAAAAATAGAGATTGATTTCATTTTGTTTGTGTCAGTTGTTGCTGCGTCTTATACCATTGATTTCAGGAATATGTTGGTCTCACTTTGGAAAACACCTTGCCTGTACACCATGTAGATCAAGTGCACATGCATATTTTTAAGAATACCAAAGGTACTTGTGCCACCATTTTTTTGTCTCTTCAAAAAAGAATTTGAATCTCAATAATGACAAATGTTCCACTTTTGGATAAGTTAAGGTTAGCATAGATTGATTGTCCATCTGAAGTGTGTGTGAACAATCATGCTTCCCATGTTTTAGGACACATTTCATAGATGATTGGCTAACACCCTTTATGTATCCTATGAAATTGAATATCACTTCTTTTCTTTGTTAAGTATTTTCTTAACTGATATTGAAAAGTCTAATATATTTCTGGCTCTATGTTTCTTCTTGTCTTTTCTTCATTCTATTGCTTCGCCGATGAAGTTGTAATAAGTGATGGAGCATCATTATCTTTTTTATAAACTTGAATATTTATCTTAATTTACTAGTTTTTACTTTGCTTTGTATACTTCATTGATATATACTGATTCCATACATTGCATAATTTTACTTAAAAAAATGTACCTGTATAGAAGTATACCCATCTTTATCTTTCATTTTGAAGACAAATAGCTATTGATTGTTCTAAATTTTGAATGTTCAATGCTGGGGGTGCAACCTTAGTGTCACACACGTAGATTTGTTCCTCAGACATCTGCTGTTAAGCTTTTGAATGTCCAATGGATTTAGTTTTGTTGTTGCAGAAGTGGCAGGTTGAAATAAAGTACTTTAGCAAACCATAATCAAGTCCGCAACAACAAATAAATAAACAAAAAACAAAGCAATGTTACCTGCTGCCTCCTCCCAAAAGAGCAGCAAAAAGGAAAAAAATAAAATAAATGAGCTAATATGAACAGAAAGGAAGTCCCTGTTATCACCTAGGAATTAATGATTTTTTATTCTGTTTTAAATCTAGATGTGGAACCACAATATACTGGTGCAAGAATCGAGGGAGATGTTGTAACTTTGGATTTTGTGAAGAAAATGATGGATGACTTCAAAAATCAGAAGTGCTTACACAAACGGTATGTTCGGCAAATTAGACTTGGTGGTATGACTTAAATGTATAGTGTGTCTTTATTCTAATTCTTTAGGTACGAATCTTGGTGTTTATCTTACAGGTATGCATTCCAGATTGTCTTGCAAACAAGAGAAATGCTACGAGCCTTGCCGTCTCTTGTTGATATAAATGTTCCTGATGGCAAGCATTTCACAGTTTGTGGTGATGTACATGGTCAGGTATTTGTCAATAGTTGGATTGGAAAAAATGCGCGACTCCAAATTTCATGAGCGATCGTCCTTGTTATATTATTCTGAATGGAAGTCATGTCTTTATAAACAGCATTCTAACTGAGGCTTTAAGTTGATGAACATACTATTATTGTTATCTGTATGGTTGTTTGTGTTATCATGCTTATTATTGTCACAATTACTATTATCTGTCGGGTCCTTATATAAGCTTCCATAAGTCATTATCCTTTTTCAATGATCTGTTGATCACTGGTACCCAATTCCAGCATGTCTTGAAACTTCCAAGATACCCTTGCATATCCTGAAACCTTATACAACCTAAAACAAGCAGCATTTAATCACCACTGTAAACTATGCCTCATATGATATCTCAAGCATTCTTCATCTGAAATTCGTGCTTTATTCCTTTCCCTGTTAGCATGCCCTGCATCACTTAAAGAAGTGTTGACGTAGTTTTATATAAATACACTGATAGTCTTTAGTAGTGTTTACCATTGTGATAACAGGGTTATCTAAAGGAAATATTGATTTGCTTTATTATTCTTTCTGCTGTTATGCTTAACAACCCATGCTTGAAATTGAGTTGGGCATTTAGAAGCAAATATATATGTAGCTGATGTAGGACAACATGAACTTGAAAATCCTCCAGCACTGCTCTGAGCTGTATGAACATTACTGTGAACAGTAAACTTGGGGTTGGATGTGTTGTTTTATGGCTTAATGTTTGTTGGATTTCTGGAAAAGGGGTAGAGTTTTGTATATTACATTTAAGGATATAAAGATGAATATCTCAGATTTGATTATATGGTTTATAACTTGAATAATTGCCAAAAACCATAAGAAAGAAAAAGAAAAGTAGAAGAAAAAAATTAAGCATCACTCCTAGGGTTCTTTAGGCATCACTATTAGGGTTTTGAGTTGCATAATATCACTAGCTATATATAGTGTTAACACCATGTAATTCCTAATCCTAAAAGATTAGGATTCCCAAAGACTCTATACTACTTCAAGAGTAGGAAACAAACATAAACTAGGTCTTTAAACTTTAGAAATATCCAACACTAGAATTTAACGTAAAAGACGACCCATGGGTAATACTAGGACTAGTTCCAAAAAATTTTGAAATTACAAAAATACCCTTGACTCAAAAATATGAAAAAGACACATACAAACCAACTTAAAGTTACTCAAAAATAAGACTAAAAAAAACTTATGACAGGCCCCACGTGGGTCTTTGCCCTAATAGCAAACTAAATTCTTTTTTTGTCTCCTTTTTGAGGTTATATTTCCTTGACCATCTTATGGACTGCAGCATTCTTCCATTACAAAAATACCCTTGGCTAAAAAAAAAAATGAAAAAGACACATACAAACCAACTTAAAGTTACTCAAAAATAAGACTCAAAAAAACTTATGAAAGGCTCCACGTGGGTCTCTGCCATGATAGCAAAACCAAATTCCTTTTTTGTCTCATTTTTTTAGTTTATATTTTCTTGACCATCTTTTGGATTTCATCATTCTTCCATGGTTGGAGAAAATTTGACTTCCAAGTTTTGAAGTGTTGAAGTATGAAATCCCAAAAACGTAGGACTAGCATATGTGGTTGCATCCTAGAGGTCTTAAGATGACACCTCCTTTTCTTTTTGAATTGAGGAAACAAAGAAGAAATTTTGGAGACCGATCTTCTCAATTGTGCCATGGAATTTTTCTAGAATGGCAAAATCAATTGTGCCATTAAAGAACATCCTTGAATTGACATTGAACATGAAGCCTAGTAGTGTGCCCTTCAATTGTAGCCTTCCCCAATCTTGGATTATGTTCTGCTGCCCTTCTTTGTTCTTGGTGATATCTTCATTTCCTATCATATTGGTCTTCTCTTATGGTAGAATTGGTGGCTCTTTATACTCAAATTCTTGGCAGATACGAACAACTCAAGCCCTTGAGACATTATTGTTGCTGATTAAAAGTCATTAGTGGAAGTAATTTCATTACATAACTCTTTCGGCACTCTTTCGATGCACTTAGGTAGCAACTTTGGCAAATTTGATTCATTACAAGTTGCTTTTCTTCCATCATTTAGGCTATAAGGCATAATTATTTTTCGGATCTTTACTTTTTATCTTGGTCTTTGGACAAACTATTAGCTAACGGACTTAGAGTTTGCGCAGACTCATCTACTTGATCGCTGCCTCCTTGCATTATTGAATCTTTTGTCACATTGGATTTCTTTTGATGAACCTACTCTGGTTGCACATTAGAATGCAAATGACTTTGAGTTTTAGCCTTCTAGCAAGAAGAAACCCTTGTTGGATTTACTTGATTAAGGAAATTATTAAGTGCCAATTGGAGTGCATGCTCCATGCTATATAGTGGTTGTCAAAAATTTCTAACTTTATGTCAACCCTTAAACCAACATTGAATCGAGCAATTATTCGATGAGAATCTTGTATGATTCAACTTTGCATCATTAGTTCTTCTAATCTTTCAATGTACTCCATCACAGATAAGTTGCCTTGTTGTAGATTTGTAAGTTGTTTGCACAACTTGCTATAATAATTTGAGGGTATATACTTTTCTTGAAGATTAGCTTTCATCTCTTTCCATGTATTGATTGACGACAATCCTGGTCTTCTTAAATATCCTTCAATGCCAAGCAACCATATTTTTTTGAAGCCTATCAGTTTCATCTTATCAAATCACACTCTTCAATTATTAGACATATCATTCATACCTAACAAAATATTCCTCAATAAAAGTAAGCCAACCAGAAAATATTGTAAGATCATCCTTCCTTCAAATCTAAGATCTTCATCTTCATACGTCAATATTTAAGGTACGTGACATAGAATATTTCGCTTTAAGACCAAAATTGATGTTGGACAGCAATGAACCCAAAAGGGTTAGGGTTTCATAGATTATGTTTAAGGATATAAAGATGAATATTTCAGATCCGATTATAGGTTTAGAACTTGAATAATTGCTGAAAATTTGAAGAGAGAAGAAGAAAAATAGAAGAAGAAAACTAGGAATCACTCCTAGGGTTCCTTAGGCATCACACCTAGGGTTTTCAATTGCATCATACAAACCCATAACATATAATTGCTGGAAAAATATCATTCTATCTTTTATTAAAAATATCACTAGTTATATAGAGTTCCATGTAATTCTAATCCTAAAAGATTAGGATTGTCAAGGACTGTAGGGCTATAAAGACTCTATACTATTGATAGAGTAGGAAGCTAACATAAACTAGGATTCTAAACTCTAGAGACATCCAACACTGGAATTTGATCCAAAAGATGACCCACTGCCACTAGTCATACTGTGACCCTTCCATAAAATTTATAAATTACAAAAATATCATTGACTATAAGAAATATAAAAAAGGTACATAAAAGNCTAGAGACATCCAACACTGGAATTTGATCCAAAAGATGACCCACTGCCACTAGTCATTCTGTGACCCTTCCATAAAATTTATAAATTACAAAAATATCATTGACTATAAGAAATATAAAAAAGGTACATAAAAGTACTAAATACCAACAAACTAACTTAAAGTTGCTCAACAATAAGACTCAAATAAAATTATCAAAGGGTCTTCGGCTCTCCGCCTTGATAGCAAGCCAAATTCCATAGTTTGTCACGTTTTTGAATTTATATTTCCTTGACCATCTTATGGACTGCATCAGTAGTGAAATTTGGGAAAGCAATTGTAGGTTAAATTTGACAGTTGAAAGTTAACTTTCTATCATAATTAGTATTTTGCTTGAAGAATGCAATATTTATGCCATGGCAAGCATGAGGACTTCGCTGAAAAAAACTTGGTGTTATTTGTAATTAGTAACTCAAATGTTTCTTGCATGAATTAAAAGTTTATTGTTCAGAACCTCAGCATCTCCAATTCATTGCAAATGTATTTTGGATGTTCTGCTTTACATTGCACAGGTCGTCTTTCTTACATGTATTCCACTCATATGGTTGCAGTAACACTCATTTCATGTAATGGTGAATGTTACTCTGCTGCTTCTTTCTAGGCATCTTTTCACATGATATATGCATCATCATATAAACCCACATTTCCCACAAATAACCCTCTATCCCTTACAAATAACCCACATTTCCTTGTTTGGAAGTCTCCAAAAGCTCGTCCACTCTGAGAGAGGCAATGGATCATTATTGCTTATTAGCCTATGTGTCTTTGGTGCCAAAACTAATTGTAAGCTACCCTATTTTAGATATTACTCACTACTTAGAATATAATTTTTTTCCTACCACACGAGGCAATGGCCCTTTATTTAAGGGCGTAAATGGTGTTCTAAACGATAATGAGTAGTGTGAGTGTGTTTTTGTCTAGGAAGCACGGATATTCCGGTGAGGATCGATGTGGCAGTGTCTGACACATATACGTGTGGGACATGGCCGGACACATGTCTGACACTTCTACAAATGTCCTGAATAGAAAATGAAAAAAAAAAAAAATTCGAATACGGGGAAAATATGGGTGGGATACAGGAATAAGGGGTTGGGAGAGAAAAAAAAAAAGAAAGAAGAAGCACATCGTCAACAGAGAGAGAAGAGGTGAAAGGACATACTGTAGCTTTAGATCTGCTTCTTTCCTTCTTCCTTCTTCCTCTCTCCAGCTGCTTCTCTTCTTCGGTAGCTTCTCTGTCGGTGCCCTAGCTGGACAATTTTTTCTTTTTCTTTTCTTTNGAGGTGAAAGGACATACTGTAGCTTTAGATCTGCTTCTTTCCTTCTTCCTTCTTCCTTCTTCCTTCTTCCTCTCTCCAGCTGCTTCTCTTCTTCGGTAGCTTCTCTGTCAGTGCCCTAGCTGGACAATTTTTTCTTTTTCTTTTCTTCTTTCTCACTCTCTCTCTCTCTCAACTGAACAAACGTTTATTAGTATTGTATAACTAATTTAGTATTTGTTAAATAAATTAATCCACAGCCCACTTTGATGTTAGACCCAAAAAACCTATTCTAATATATTAGCCCATTACTTAATTATTGTAAGATAGTAACCAACTACTCAATGATTTTTAGATCTCATTATTAATATTATTTATATAAAAAATATATAATATTATTTAATTAGCCGTATCCTTACCGACACCGTACATGTGTCCTATATTTTGGAACTTTGTCGTATCCTCTCGTATCGGATACGACACTTTTGTCCATATCCGTAGGTTTTTGTAAAATGAAGTGCCAAGACAAAGTAGATAATGTTTCTAGGATGGAGAAACATCGTTTTCCAATTTGCTGTTGCACAACAGTGCTTGTTTGAATTTTATTGCATCAACTATANACACTTTTGTCCATATCCGTAGGTTTTTGTAAAATGAAGTGCCAAGACAAAGTAGATAATGGTTCTAGGATGGAGAAACATCGTTTTCCAATTTGCTGTTGCACAACAGTGCTTGTTTGAATTTTATTGCATCAACTATATGCGTCTTGATTTTGCACCTTTTGTCATTGCCCTGTATAATGCTGCTTATATCACCTCATCTTACTTTTGCACGCTATTATTGTTGGTGACATGTGGAGTTCCATATTTTCTTTCTTCTTCTTTTTTTTTTTTTTGTTTTTATAATTAATAGCCATTCCCTGCCCTTTTCTCTGTTTGTTCTACTTGATTTGGTGGCTGATTGTTTGTTCCTTCACTCCCTCTTCTCTCTCTATTTCTCTTGTCTCTTTTGTTTTGGTGGTTTGGTTGCAGTTCTATGATCTGTTGAACATATTTGAGCTCAATGGGCTTCCCTCGGAAGAGAATCCATATCTATTTAATGGTGACTTTGTGGATAGGGGATCCTTCTCCGTGGAGGTCATACTCACACTGTTTGCATTCAAGTGCATGTCTCCATCAGGTTAGGCCACTTCTATTCCTGTGCTTTTGATTGTTAACTTGTACTGACAATTGGCATCAAGATAAAATAGAACCATGTGGAATATAGAGTTGCCTTCTAATGGAGTTTACGCATCATTGTCTAGTCTCTTATGACGTGGTTCCCTAACTAAAATTCTTATAGATATGTTCATTAGCAGTTTTGTTTAGTGGCATTCTTAACTTTGAAGGCGAGTGCCACATATTGTGTAGTATTTTCATTTTATAAATTGCATTAAGCTCTGGAAATTTCTGGCTGCCTCAAATTTGAAGTACCGGATATTGCATTGAGGTGTTATTTTTTCCCAATGTTTCAACTGACAAATATTTCGACATAAATGTGTATGTGTATGCTTATTGATGAATGTGCTTCATATATATTTAATTTTTATCACTATTTTGTGTAGTAGCAAACTTTTTTTGCAACCAATACTCAACTTTTGTGTTGCATCTCATTGTGTTTGAAATTTCAGGCATATATCTCTCTCGAGGAAATCATGAGAGTAAAAACATGAACAAGATCTACGGTTTTGAGGGCGAGGTCAGGTCCAAGTTGAATGAAACTTTTGTGGAACTCTTTGCAGAAGTGTTCTGTTGTATACCTTTGGCTCATGTAATAAATGAGAAGATTTTTGTGGTTCATGGAGGTCTTTTCAGTGTTGATGGTGTGAAGCTCTCTGACATTCAAGCAATTGATCGGTTTTGTGAGCCTCCGGAGGAAGGTGAGCTGCAAATTTCTTTTTTATGTGTACTTTTTATAAGCGTAAATAGTTTGGAATAAGATCCTAATTCATAACTAATGTTGCCATTAGTTAATTGTACAATTCTTGCCCAACCACCCCTTTGGATTTTTGAATATTTCTTTATTGAATTTTCGAGTAGTTTGAAACTTTTCCAATTTAGTGTCAGTGAAACTTATGACTTATTTGAAATCATAGTTAAAAAGCAGAGGTAGAGTCTCATATATGGACAAAAACTGGGTAAAGAATGGGAGAAGGTGGATGTGGCCCATGGTTATGAGGGTATACTCATTATCATGTGCCTGCATTTCGTATCTGTGAAAATTGNATTTAGTCTCAGTGAAACTTATGACTTATTTGAAATCATAGTTAAAAAGCAGAGGTAGAGTCTCATATATGGACAAAAACTGGGTAAAGAATGGGGGAAGGTGGATGTGGCCCATGGTTATGAGGGTATACTCATTATCATGTGCCTGCATTTCGTATCTGTGAAAATTTACAACTTCATCGTGTTAAATGAATGAAATTTGCTCGCAATGCAGCCTCTGATAATTGAGTTGAGATGTGCCATTACTCATTTCTGTCTCTTTGATCCCTGTACAACTATGCCTTCCACATTTGAGGGATGCAAGAACTAGTGGGGCCCATGGTTTTGGATGCAAATCAGGTGGGTTGGATTAGGTTGAAAGCCACCCAAGCTTATTCAAAAGGGTTGTGCCTAGTGCCGTAGTTCAAACTCAATTCCACCCTGAGGTGCACAACCCCAGCTTCACTTGGTCAAATTGTTCTGGTTCCAAGCCGAGAGTATTGGTAACATTTCCCCCTGGCCAGACACACAGAATAGTTCAGATTACGTGCAAGCATTTAGATTTTTTGAGATAGTTTGAGCTTTGACTCGAGCTTATTTATCATGTTCAATCTTCTAGATTGTTTATGCCTTTCCAAAAGTCAAGCATGTTGACGAGTCTAAGCAGTCTTGTTGCATATCCTATTGACTGCCCTCTTATTAAAAAATGTGGTATTTCCAACTTGGTATATATTATCAGTGATTAAGAAATACAATGTGCTTTGGAAACTCAGGAATGGGGAATGCAAGGGGAATGGATGAAGCATGAATTGAAGATATATTTTTAGTTTAATATGGTAATATACACTATCACTTCTTTTTTCACTGAACTCAACTCAAGACAACCTTATCCCAACTTTTTAGGATCAACTTAATTAGTTCTTTACTAATTAGATACTCAAGCATTATTGTTCTTACTTTTATTTCTATATTTGAACTTTTGGGGAGATGTCTATAAAAAGTAGGCTTATTGTAATTGGGATTTGGGAGTACCNGCAAGAACTAGTGGGGCCCATGGTTTTGGATGCAAATCAGGTGGGTTGGATTAGGTTGAAAGCCACCCAAGCTTATTCAAAAGGGTTGTGCCTAGTGCCGTAGTTCAAACTCAATTCCACCCTGAGGTGCACAACCCCAGCTTCACTTGGTCAAATTGTTCTGGTTCCAAGCCGAGAGTATTGGTAACATTTCCCCCTGGCCAGACACACAGAATAGTTCAGATTACGTGCAAGCATTTAGATTTTTTGAGATAGTTTGAGCTTTGACTCGAGCTTATTTATCATGTTCAATCTTCTAGATTGTTTATGCCTTTCCAAAAGTCAAGCATGTTGACGAGTCTAAGCAGTCTTGTTGCATATCCTATTGACTGCCCTCTTATTAAAAAATGTGGTATTTCCAACTTGGTATATATTATCAGTGATTAAGAAATACAATGTGCTTTGGAAACTCAGGAATGGGGAATGCAAGGGGAATGGATGAAGCATGAATTGAAGATATATTTTTAGTTTAATATGGTAATATACACTATCACTTCTTTTTTCACTGAACTCAACTCAAGACAACCTTATCCCAACTTTTTAGGATCAACTTAATTAGTTCTTTACTAATTAGATACTCAAGCATTATTTTTCTTACTTTTATTTCTATATTTGAACTTTTGGGGAGATGTCTATAAAAAGTAGGCTTATTGTAATTGGGATTTGGGAGTACCTTTGTGCTATTGAACATTGATCAAGGATTGAAAATGGATTGTCTCCCTTTTTTCTCACTCTGGGGTAATGTGTTTCTCAGTTTCTCAACAAAGGTTACTAGTTTTATATTATGTGAACTTTTACTTGTTTTTCTGGTAATGGAGAATCATCTTGATTACGTGTCCTATGGATTTGTGGCTATAAAACAAACTTAGGACGTTCGCAATCATCGGCAAACTACATGCATTGAGTAAACCAAGGTTCTCTTGCAGTCCTATGAGAATCAACCCTGGGATCTTGAGGTGGTAACCCTGATATCTGCCCATCTGACAGGGCTATTTATGCTTGGATTGATTCTGTGATTGACTATGTTACCAAAATTAGATGACACCTCATTTTGGTTGGTCGTGTGTTACTCAAGCCTAGCTTATAAGCTGTTGTGTTGAAGCTTTAGCTGGAGCTTGGCTTTGTTAAATAGTTATTTTATAGGCTTCTTAATAAACCAAATCGTAGCCTTTTTGATTCATTTGCTTCCTAGATGTGTGGGTGTAGTAAATATAAGCTGCCTATTTAATGTGCTATAAAATTCCTGTAGTTAATATTTTTATACTATCTATATGTGTGCCTATGTTACGTGTTATAGATCATGCATGCTTTAATTGATGTTTAAGAATGAAAGCTTGATGCAGCTTCAAGGGTGTAAATATGCTGAAGAAATATTCGTCAGAGAACAAAGTTCATAGTGTAAATTTACAGTCACAGCTCATAAATTATGTATTGTTTGGTAGCACTTGATTAAAAATATATTCAATAACTGTTTAAAAAAGTGTTTTGTGTGAATCTTAGTATATAATAATACACTTATATATATGCATCTATATACTACTATACCTGCAATTAAGTTTGAAAGGAGCAAGTCCGAAAAGAGAGAAGCAGAAGAGTAAACATACAAGAGCAACTCAACTCAACGAAGTCTTTGTGCCAATTATTTTGGGTTACTTATATAAATTTTATTTTTTCATTGTGTTCTATCAAAGGACTTATTTTCTATTAAAGTATAAGTTATCATTTTTTTTTTATGATCTCGTTCAAACTTAATTTCGGCCTACCTTGACCTCTTGTACTAGCATCGATATGAATAAAATCACATTCTCTTACTTGTCCAATATTAAGTCTTCTATAATGAGCAATATTAAGTCTTCTATAGATATTTTTAGATAATGTAAGTCAATTATTTCTTAATTGATCTCTTATTGGTGCTACTTATATGGTTTTGCGAATATACTAATTCCTAATTCTATCATTTCTAGTTTTACTACACTTTATCGTCATTGGTTTTTGTCTAGGAAGCAAGGATATGGATATGTGATACGGGTACGATACGACATGGATACGACGAGATGACAAAACTTAAAAAAAAAAGATATGGATATGACTAAGATACGTTTATAATAAAATATATTTTGTATTTTACTATTATTTAACTACTTAAAAATAACAATTTTCAATAATTCTTTAATAATAGTAAGAAAAAATAGGAATTTTTACCTTAAAAAAGATGTAATAACGTCTTATTATAATATATGCATAAAATGAGCGTGACCAATTAAAAAAATCAGAATTATATTTAACTAGTTGGTTTGTTTACAAGTATTTGTTTTTAAGATTACAGTAAAACTAACTCATTTTTTTAATACTCTTTTGAAATGTAATAGTAGATAATACTTGAAAAACACTCGTGTCTTTAAAATCACATGAAATTTTGTTGATGTTTCATATTATATGTGAACCCGAAAAGAGAGGGTATAAATTAAAATTAAAAATTGTACATCTTGCTCCATATTAGAAGTATCCGTGAAATATCCACATATTTTTATTAATTATCGAATACGTATAGTGCGTATCTGATATGTATACTTGAATATTCGACAAGTATTGTATTCAAAACAGTATCTGATACGAGTACGTCGGCCTTGACGAAATATTTGTGTGTGCTTCATATGTTTTTGTGCATTTAGTGCCTACTATTTACATAGTTCGTCCCATGCCCAGATGAACGAGGAGGGTTGCGGGTAGCTGGCATGACAACCAACATGGTAAATTATGAACATGAATCAAAATTCACAAGAATAAACACTATTTAAATAAGTAATTAAAAAAAANTCTTACTTGTCCAATATTAAGTCTTCTATAATGAGCAATATTAAGTCTTCTATAGATATTTTTAGATAATGTAAGTCAATTATTTCTTAATTGATCTCTTATTGGTGCTACTTATATGGTTTTGCGAATATACTAATTCCTAATTCTATCATTTCTAGTTTTACTACACTTTATCGTCATTGGTTTTTGTCTAGGAAGCAAGGATATGGATATGTGATACGGGTACGATACGACATGGATACGACGAGATGACAAAACTTANACTTGTCCAATATTAAGTCTTCTATAATGAGCAATATTAAGTCTTCTATAGATATTTTTAGATAATGTAAGTCAATTATTTCTTAATTGATCTCTTATTGGTGCTACTTATATGGTTTTGCGAATATACTAATTCCTAATTCTATCATTTCTAGTTTTACTGCACTTTATCGTCATTGGTTTTTGTCTAGGAAGCAAGGATACGAATATGTGATACGGGTACGATACGACATGGATACGACAAGATGACAAAACTTAAAAAAAAAGATATGGATATGACTAAGATACGTTTATAATAAAATATATTTTGTATTTTACTATTATTTAACTACTTAAAAATAACAATTTTCAATAATTCTTTAATAATAGTAAGAAAAAATAGGAATTTTTACCTTAAAAAAGATGTAATAACGTCTTATTATAATATATGCATAAAATGAGCGTGACCAATTAAAAAAATCAGAATTATATTTAACTAGTTGGTTTGTTTACAAGTATTTGTTTTTAAGATTACAGTAAAACTAACTCATTTTTTTAATACTCTTTTGAAATGTAATAGTAGATAATACTTGAAAAACACTCGTGTCTTTAAAATCACATGAAATTTTGTTGATGTTTCATATTATATGTGAACCCGAAAAGAGAGGGTATAAATTAAAATTAAAAATTGTACATCTTGCTCCATATTAGAAGTATCCGTGAAATATCCACATATTTTTATTAATTATCGAATACGTATAGTGCGTATCTGATATGTATACTCGAATATTCGACAAGTATTGTATTCAAAACAGTATCTGATACGAGTACGTCGGCCTTGACGAAATATTTGTGTGTGCTTCATATGTTTTTGTGCATTTAGTGCCTACTATTTACATAGTTCGTCCCATGCCCAGATGAACGAGGAGGATTGCGGGTAGCTGACATGACAACCAACATGGTAACTTATGAACATGAATCAAAATTCACAAGAATAAACACTATTTAAATAAGTAATAAAAAAAAAAAAAAAAGTCAAGAAATTACTTCAAAAAATAGTTACTGAATGTATCTAAAGAAACTCTAAAACCAATTATAGTTTTGCTTTCTCAGTTCTAGTAATTTTGTAGTATATGCAAGTAGTTTGCCTTTTGCGGGGAATAATCCTATTGGGTGTCTCTCTATTCACATGCATGTGAGAGAACATGCAGATAAACCGACTAGACTGTGTGCGCTCACATACTCACACATACACTCTACCACTATATTGGGCATTATGTTCATCAGATTCCTAAAGTCAACGTATGTGTGGTTTTATAGACAAACTTCAATATTTTGTTGAACAACTTGATTACATTATTTTTGGTCATTTTGGATTAACTAAGGATTAAAACATGACTCAATGTTACTTGAATTGTGGGTCGCTTTGGTACGTGATAAGGGTACGGCCGTACAGGGTACGANTTACATTATTTTTGGTCATTTTGGATTAACTAAGGATTAAAACATGACTCAATGTTAATTGAATTGTGGGTCGCTTTGGTACGTGATAAGGGTACGGCCGTACAGGGTACGGCATTTTCTTAAGTATGCGGTAAGATGGAGGTAGACTTTGATGGTATAGTATTTTGGGTCGGAATTTGTTTTGAAACTCTTATTTAGATCGTTTTCATCACTATACAACATTATATATCATAGAACATATATAAACATTAAGTCAGTTGTCATTTATGTTACATTTGTGCTCGATTTTTTATTATCTAAAACAATATATAATTATATATCTATATAGATGTAGTTAATTAATACTTATTTTATATTTGTGCTACGTATATAATTTGACATCATACATTTTGGTGATCTAGATTACGAACCCATCCCGTTTAGGATCAATGTACCTAGATCGTAGTTCGTCAAGGGTTTAGTGAATTCTGGTAACTATGGTATGGACATAACAAAAGTGGTATGAGTAAACTCCTTCCTGGGGTTGATAAGGGAGGAATACTCTGATTGCCCTTCTCATACATCCTTTAAAATGCCAGAATGCCCTATAAGTCGGAAAGCTCATATAACCATACTTAAAGAAAATCAACGGGTCTGGAATTAGGAGGAAACAAGACAAAATTTTGGAAGCATGAGGGTAATTTTGGTGATCAGACCCTAATAAGCTGTCTATGCTAATAAACATGTTCGGAAACCGTTGCATTACTAGATAACAAGTGTTTCTGTGGTCCATATCCACGTTTTGGCAGTTTAACATAAAGGAATACTGTGGAACCTCCTTTGTCTGTTTCTCTTTATTGAACTTATGAAAGCATACAAAAACTCTTGGGCAAGATACATTAAGTGCTCATTCCATCATTTTCCTTGCATGATTGCTTCACTTTCTATTAGGCTAAACTCTGATAACATGTCTAGAATTGAGCATAAGCCAAAAAACACCATATCTGCTGTAATAGAGGATGGAAATGGCGAGGGGGATAGGATTCCATTGTTTGGTTGGAGGAAAAGGGGAAGGAGGTTGGAGAAAAAGGGGAAGGAGGGGAAACAGAATAGATAATGACAATGGCAATGGCCAGGGATGGATAGGATTCCATCGTCGGGTAGGAGGAAAAGGGGAAGGGGAAGTCTGGATTTCTTGACGGGATTTAGAGATCAAGGTAATTCTTGTTTCAGCGAATGACTGATTTTGCCATGGAAATAAGGAAAATTGGCTGATATGTTTTAGTAAGGGAATTTCAGGGAGTTGCATAAGTTAATGCGACTAATGAGTCAAGATATACTGGCTCCATTTTTGCTGGGTGCAAGTGGAGAAGGTTCCATGTATTTTAGTAAAAAATAAAAAAATGTGTAGTCGAACTTGAGGACATAGTTTGCATATCATTTATAATGGAGGACTTTCTGGAGGAAATTCAGATAGTGTTTTTCTCGAGTTCTTTTTCTTCTCTCANATTTTAGTAAAAAATAAAAAAATGTGTAGTCGAACTTGAGGACATAGTTTGCATATCATTTATAAAGGAGGACTTTCTGGAGGAAATTCAGATAGTGTTTTTCTCGAGTTCTTTTTCTTCTCTCGTCTTTGGGTTCTGTTGAAGCTCAATAGGCCGTAGTTTTGGGCAATCACTTGCCTGCCCAAGAGTTGGAGGAAAGGGGGAAGGATATAGAAATGTCTTTACCACACATTTTTGTTATTCTTTCAAATGTTTCTGCCCTTCTTACAGCCGTCTACCTATAGTACTATAGATGAGGAACTCCTTTCCTTTCTCATCCCCTCCCAGCTCAGTCAAATTCCAACTGGTGTTTTTTTTCTGTGGGGTGGAGTGGGGGGCAGATTCTTTTCCCAAAGGTTGTCTTTTCCCTTCTTTCCCTATCTTCTCCAACTTTTCCATCATTCTTAACAAGGACACCATGAAGGCCTCAAAATGTGAGATTTGCCCATTGATTTTTCTCGATCCTTGAGACTGTGGTATTTAAAATTGCTCTACAATTCAACACAACTTAACTCAATAAAGACTTTATCCCAACTTTTTGGGATTTTGCTTTNGGTAGGAGGAAAAGGGGAAGGGGAAGTCTGGATTTCTTGACGGGATTTAGAGATCAAGGTAATTCTTGTTTCAGCGAATGACTGATTTTGCCATGGAAATAAGGAAAATTGGCTGATATGTTTTAGTAAGGGAATTTCCGGGAGTTGCATAAGTTAATGCGACTAATGAGTCAAGATATACTGGCTCCATTTTTGCTGGGTGCAAGATGGAGAAGGTTCCATGTATTTTAGTAAAAAATAAAAAAATGTGTAGTCGAACTTGAGGACATAGTTTGCATATCATTTATAAAGGAGGACTTTCTGGAGGAAATTCAGATAGTGTTTTTCTCGAGTTCTTTTTCTTCCTTCGTCTTTGGGTTCTGTTGAAGCTCAATAGGCCGTAGTTTTGGGCAATCACTTGCCTGCCCAAGAGTTGGAGGAAAGGGGGAAGGATATAGAAATGTCTTTACCACACATTTTTGTTATTCTTTCAAATGTTTCTGCCCTTCTTACAGCCGTCTACCTATAGTACTATAGATGAGGAACTCCTTTCCTTTCTCATCCCCTCCCAGCTCAGTCAAATTCCAACTGGTGTTTTTTTTCTGTGGGGTGGAGTTGGGGGCAGATTCTTTTCCCAAAGGTTGTCTTTTCCCTTCTTTCCCTATCTTCTCCAACTTTTCCATCATTCTTAACAAGGACACCATGAAGGCCTCAAAATGTGAGATTTGCCCATTGATTTTTCTCGATCCTTGAGACTGGTATTTAAAATTGCTCTACAATTCAACACAACTTAACTCAATAAAGACTTTATCCCAACTTTTTGGGATTTTGCTTCGGGAATCATGTTTCTCCATTTTGCTTTATCAAGGACCATATTTCCTGTGAAACCATGAGGCATCATATCTTTCTTTTACTATTTTGTTCGAAGTTATTTTCGGCCTACCCTTACCTATCACATTACATCAATATGTATCAAATCACTCTTCCTAAATGGTACATTACTAGGTTTGCTATAAATTAAAATCACTCTACAATGAATAATGGGATACCACTTCAGAATATTAATATTTAAATAAGCTTTGTGCCTTTTCTTTTTCCTGTGTTCAGCATGAGATAACACTTGCTTCGTCGTAATGTGTATATCAGGGTTGATGTGTGAACTGTTGTGGAGTGATCCACAACCTCAACCTGGAAGAGGACCGAGCAAGCGAGGTGTAGGTCTTTCTTTTGGGGCAGATGTAACCAAAAGATTTTTGAAGGAAAACAGTCTTGGTACTTACCTGCCCATTTGAATATTTTTTATCATTTCATAAGATCCAATACCGTAACATGCTTTATTCAAATGACAGATTTGGTTGTGCGTTCCCATGAAGTGAAGGATGAAGGCTACGAGATTGAGCATGATGGTAAACTCATTACAGTGTTTTCTGCTCCAAATTATTGTGATCAGGTAAATTAATTGCTGCTTGTCCTTCTTGTGTTCATGCAACTTGCCAATTTTGCTGAAATGTTGCTCAAGGTCAACTGTCATTTAAAGTTTTGGTGCCAAACATAGATGTATTACGAATGTTATTTAAAAAAATTCACGTTCATGAGGAGATGTGAATTCTATCAAGCTCTATAATATCTTTAGTTTCTATTTTTAAGATTGTATTTATAATTATAAAATTTTGTTTATAATTCTAGTCATTCTCTTATAGTAGGGCTTTTATGTATAGTGTCTCTTGTACCTAGTTTTGATTATCATGGATTTTAGATTTGCTGACTTTTCTCCTTTACTCTTTATACAAATGACATTTACTCTTTGTATTATGATGTAGAATACAGGGGATGTATGGTTGATATCCTTGTACGTATTATTTTGGATGAAGAGTACATTCTCTTTGGAATTACGCTTTACTGTGTCTTGTAGGGGGCAAATACCAGTTGCTTATTCAATTGTGCTTAGCCCACTGTAGCTGTGTTCTGTGTGGCTGGATAGAGAAATAAAAACCGCCTTATTTGTGCAGAAAAGGAAAAAAAAACAAAAAGTAAAACGGAGTATAGCAACTACACGACAACTACCTACAGGTTTTGGTCATTTTGTTTTGTNAATTGTGCTTAGCCCACTGTAGCTGTGTTCTGTGTGGCTGGATAGAGAAATAAAAACTGCCTTATTTGTGCAGAAAAGGAAAAAAAAAAACAAAAAGTAAAACGGAGTATAGCAACTACACGACAACTACCTACAGGTTTTGGTCATTTTGTTTTGTTCCCAAATGAGGACTTCCGTCTAGGATGTGTTCTGAGTTTGCGTTTTTCCTGTTAACTTGACATTTGAGATATTTTAATGTGTCACTGAGTATTTCCTCTGATGGATTCTGGAAGACAGAATCTTGAAAGCTAAGAATTTGTCCGTATCATTTCTACGTCCACTCACATGTTTAGAGGGGGTTGCAAAATTTTTTTTGACATTTTATTGTTCATGCTGCAGATGGGCAACAAAGGTGCTTTTATTCGATTTGAAGCCCCAGAATTGAAGCCGAATATTGTGACGTTTTCAGCAGTGGTAAGTGATTTCTGCTTACAGTAATACATAGTTCATTCTTTTGCATTACCTTAAAACAGAAAGAAAAAATAAATATTTGTGTGCATCTTGGATTCCTATTTTCTTCTTTTTCTTGTTGGCTTATTTTATTTATTCTGTACTTCTGTTTTTAATGTCTTCTATTATTCATTATATCTCGTTGATTTTTACCTCCTAATTTTCTTAATTGGATGAAATTGCAGCCACATCCTGATGTGAAGCCAATGGCATATGCCAACAACTTCCTCCGAATGTTCTCATAGTTCACCTACCTGACCAGGACCACTGGTTATGCATCTGTTAGCTACACGTTGGCCTTACTGCTCATGTGCAAGGTTAGTGCACAAGGTTGGAGTTGATAGTGGTCATATTGACAAATGCATACATTGTAATGTGAGATTTTTGAGATAACATCATTCTACGGTCTACTGGTGGTGATGGTACTTAGGATCCTGGTTCCCGGTTTTCTTTTCTGGACCACAAATTGAGGTTAACTGGTTAATATGAAACCCACCGGCATGAATGAATGGTGCCTTGTAAAATGTTTGTCCTGCTTCTCCATTTGTATTTATTACTGCTTTCCTGTTGCTCTTCACNTCCCGGTTTTCTTTTCTGGACCACAAATTGAGGTTAACTGGTTAATATGAAACCCACTGGCATGAATGAATGGTGCCTTGTAAAATGTTTGTCCTGCTTCTCCATTTGTATTTATTACTGCTTTCCTGTTGCTCTTCACAAGATAGATGTTTCTCAATTTCTTCTTTGGGAATATGCAAATAATGCTTTTACAAGTTTGTTCAAATAAGTTGTTTATTTTGTTACGTTCTCTCTGGAATATTGAGACAATGATGCGCAGGTATGGAATAAGTTTGGCTGCAAATGTGGGTTGTGAATTTTGTGCATCAGGGACAATTTTTGACTGACGCTTGCAGAAATAGGGGCATTAGTCTACTTTTTGCTTAGTGAGGAGCATGTAATCTATTGGCTTGTTACTTCCTTTTTATTGGAAAATTTTTATGTTTGATGGACAGTCTTACCGAAAGGCCGTATAATCTTCATTCTAATCAATGATGATTAAAACATTAGGCAAACCTGCCATTTATTTAATTCCACCCAGGTATGTTGCAGGTGAGCTAATTGTCTTTTCAACATAGTTGCATCTCGTTCTGGAAGACGGTTTCCCCATATTTGGTTCATCAAAAACCAAATCACAAACTTCTCACAAAAAAGGAGCAGTTCTAGTAAGATTTGTAATATGAATTCCTTTGAGCTTTGCAGAGATATAAGGTTCCATTTTAGGATTTCATTACCTAGTACCATGGCCAAAATGAACTCCTGTCTCTATCATCCCATGTTTGAATATATTCTTAGAAGTGGTAGAGAGGAATTTGTGCTGTAAAATTAGAAGTGGTAATAAAATCGACTCATTTGATAAAAAATTGTTTGCATTCAAGAATTTTCAAGTGCATGACACTGCTTATGGAACCTGATGCCTCATTTTCTTTTCTTTAAGCTTTGTTTGAAATGTGTTTTTATGTTAATATTTGTGAAATATGAAGGAACAATTTTGTTTTCCAGTAAGATCTGGTTTCTCCCAGGGCCTTTTATCATTTGTATCGCACGCGCATCTTCAAGCAATCGAGGGATGCGCCAAGTACATAGACAAGGCAGTCCTTGAACAAAAAAAGTTTAATCTTGTGAAACCGTAGCGTAGGCGAAACCTAGTTTGAGCTGGGCTTAGCTGTTAAGCTTAAATTCTTGCTCAAAGTTGGTTTGAAACAGAGCTTTACCTTGTCATGAAACAATTTTTCTAATTAGACCTTCAACAAACTAAATTCTAAAAAAAGTAAATCCCTTAAAATCTCTATTAGTAAAACTAAAATCAGCAGCATAAGTTCAAACTGTCCAAAACCTGTACTAGGAGGAGAGACAGAGATAGATATAGCTTCGTTTGAGATTGTTCAATAGATGAATGGGGGATGTTTGACAACAAATTTTGAATCATTCATTGATAGAAACCCTTTGAGCAGATTCGAGTGACATATTGGGAATTGACTCGTTTAANAATCTTGTGAAACCGTAGCGTAGGCGAAACCTAGTTTGAGCTGGGCTTAGCTGTTAAGCTTAAATTCTTGCTCAAAGTTGGTTTGAAACAGAGCTTTACCTTGTCATGAAACAATTTTTCGAATTAGACCTTCAACAAACTAAATTCTAAAAAAAGTAAATCCCTTAAAATCTCTATTAGTAAAACTAAAATCAGCAGCATAAGTTCAAACTGTCCAAAACCTGTACTAGGAGGAGAGACAGAGATAGATATAGCTTCGTTTGAGATTGTTCAATAGATGAATGGGGGATGTTTGACAATAAATTTTGAATCATTCATTGATAGAAACCCTTTGAGCAGATTCGAGTGACATATTGGGAATTGACTCGTTTACAAAGCGAGCTTATAAATCTGGTTGCAGGATTTAGGGATTCCTGTATTTTTCTCATATAAATTATAGGTGTGCCATTGAAGCCATTAAAACTCCATCATCAACTTCATCGCGAGAGGAGGAGCAAGGATGTCCAACCTTGAAGGCCATAAGAGCTACACCACCCATGTATCATCTCCTCCTGAGATTCCCCACCAAGCATGGAATAGGGGATCTCCGAGGGGATCAAGCCATGGTAAGGGGATGTTATGTTGCTTCTACAAGGGATAAGAATCCATCCACAAGAAGCACTACAAGTGGAAAGCTTTTATTTGCGAGAGCGGGATGAAGATCGAAGAGTTCACCTAGTGGAGAAACTAATTCTAATACATTTGGGAGAGAGCCTAGAGCAAGTGACCTATCTGGGATCAGGCTTCCCCTAGAGACTAGAAAAATATTGGAAAGATTTTTATGATATGATGTTGATGTCTTCGCTTAGAGCCACGATGATATACCTAGCATCGACCTAGGGGTCATTCATTGTACATAAGTTAAATGTTGATCCATGTTGCAAACCTGTTAGATAGAAGAGAATGGTATTTGTCCCAGAAAGGGCCAGTGCCATTAATGAGGAAGTACATAAATTTCTTCATGCTGAGTCTATAAGAGAGATACAATACCTTGAATAACTAGCTAACGGGATGCTGGTCAAGAAGCAAAATTGGAAGATGCATCAACTTTACTGATCGTAACAAGGCCAGCCCAAAAGACTGCTTCCCTTAGCTAGAAACAATCTTCTAGTAGATGCTACANATACAATACCTTGAATAACTAGCTAACGGGATGCTGGTCAAGAAGCAAAATTGGAAGTGGAGATTATGCATCGACTTTACTGATCTTAACAAGGCCAGCCCAAAAGACTGCTTCCCTTGGCTAGAAACAATCTTCTAGTAGATGCTACAGTTGGATTCTAGTTGTAAAGTTTTAAGGATGCATTCCGATGGCCAAGAGAAGACCTATTTTGTAACATAACAAGGTCTTTACTACTACCACNGCCAGCCCAAAAGACTGCTTCCCTTGGCTAGAAACAATCTTCTAGTAGATGCTATGGTTGGATTCTAGTTGTAAAGTTTTAAGGATGCATTCCGATGGCCAAGAGAAGACCTATTTTGTAACATAACAAGGTCTTTACTACTACTACTACTACTACTGTTGTAAGGTACTGTCATTTGGTTTAAAGAACGCTTGAACTACATATCAACGTTTGGTCAGTTGAATCTTCAAGGATTTTATTAGAAAAATAAATAAGATTTACATAGATGCTATGTTGGTAAAAGTCCAGCATGCCTCATGCATATGTCGCACCTCAGTGAAGCTTTTGAGACCTTTCGTAAAGGGATAGAAGATTTTATTGTTGAAATACACTGGGTGGGAGTAATCCCCACGAGGAATTCCTCCAATCACCAAGTAGTGAGAGTAGGGGGCCTCATCCTGATTACCGTGACCATGTAAAAATGGTGTATACTTTGTGATTTGGTTTTAAGATCTCAAATAACGAAGAGGACTAAAGCTAGCACTGAATCTTGGGGCTGAGCAATAGAAGCCATATAGTAATTCCTAGCTGATAGTCAAACAGATCTAGGGAATCTATGAAGCAAAGGNATTTGGTTTTAAGATCTCAAATAACGAAGAGGACTAAAGCTAGCACTGAATCTTGGGAAGCAAAGGATAATAGGATGACAACTTACTTAGCTTAGTCAAATCTCAAATTGACGACTTTGAGGATACCTCAGATTGAAAACTTCAATGCAGATTCCCTAGAGTNATAATAGGATGACAACTTACTTAGCTAAGTCAAATCTCATATTGACGACTTTGAGGATACCTCAGATTGAAAACTTCAATGCAGATTCCCTAGAGTTAGACCTCTATAATGATCTCTTCAGAACCATTCCGGTTGAATTCTTCCCAAAACCCAACACTGAAGACAAAAAAGAAGTTTTGACAGCTCAACAAGTCCTAGGTTGGACTTTGTTGGCCTGGGTAGAGGTGCAACAAATCGCCTTCAGACTTGAGGGGAAGGCTAAATCAGCCCGACCCATGTGCGCCACTATTTATGATTGAAAAGATAGACGTTGCGCCTTACTCACAATCAATTGGTTTTGGCGTAGTAGTCAGCGAATCGATCTAAAAATTGGTATCAGAACAAAGGCTCTAAGCAAAGTGTACAATAACATTTAAAGTAAAGAGATCATGACAATTCTAAGAGGAAACATTGTTGAAGGAAAATTCATTTTTAGACCACCATTCTTCAATGGTAATAACTATACATATTGGAAAGCTAGAATGAAAATATACATCATGTCTCTAGATGATGCACTATAGGATATTATTGAAGAAGGATACATTAAGCCCACTAGTGATAAGAAAACATGGACTATTGATGACAAGAAGACACACGCAAATAATGCCAAGGCAATGAATACACTCTATTTTACACTATATAAAAGTGAATTCAATCGTATTTTCACTTGTGAAACTGTTTCTCAAATATAGCATATACTAGAAGTCACACATGAAGGAACTAGCAGAGTGAAGGAATCTAAAATAAGCAAGTTTGTGCATGATTATGAGCTTTTTAAAATGGATCCTCATGAAAGCATATCTCAAATGTTTACATGTTTTACTAACATCATCAATGCACTTAAATCTATTGGGAAATCTTATGCGGATGACGATCTTGTAAGAAAAGTACTTAGGTGTCTTCTAAGATCTTGGGCTGCCAAAGTGATGGCCATCATTGAAGCAAAAGATCTCAAGACTCTTCCTTTAGAAGAACTTGTTGGCTC